GAACTTAGTATAATATTTACAAAACAAGAAGTGGCAGTACATGTTAGATGTTGAACTTGGTGTAATATTTACAAAACAAGAAGTAGCAGTACATTTTACGTGTCAAACTTGATGTAATTAAAATCTGAGCCTGTTTACTCTGGCTGAAGCAGCACGTTTCAGAAACTCAAATCTCAACTACAAGACATTATAGTTTAACTCTTCAAGGTTTGTGAAACAAACACTGGGTTTCCTTGCAAGTTAGAAGCTGAAAAGTTTTATATTCATGAGAGAATGTTACTAACAAGCACTTTATAACAAAATCTTTATAAAATTATTCCAAAGTCTTTTCACTGACCTCACCCTTCGTGGGAAAACAATGATCTAAATTTGATGTTCAATAAAGATTTAATTATGATATGGAATGATTGTCATCATATTACTAACACTATAATGAAATTCAATACACTTCTGTGTATGTGGGAGTAAGACTGCACCTCCTAGCTTATACTCACATATGTATAAAACAACTTTAGGATATGAACAAAATGCACCATTTTCAGTGAAAATTACATCATACTTCACTAATCATTCCCTACTTCCTACAAATGTACCACCACATTTTACAGATTATTGCTAATGTTCTGACATTTCCACAAGTCCTAATAAACTTGACAAGCTTCAGTTAATGTGCTTAGTCATGGAATAATCCTTACCACAAACTCCAGTCCAGGAAGTACATAGTTGCTTGAAGCCGACATCTCATCTGTAAGTGGTACAGCTAATAAATACCCAAGCTTAAAAGAAAAAAAAAACAATAGGTTAAAATTTGTAGGTGTAACTTTAGATTTATTAAAGAAAGGGAAACCTGCAGGTTAAAATTTGTAGATGTAACTTTAGATTTATTAAAGAAAGTGAAACCTGCAGGTTAAAATTTGTAGGTGTAACTTTAGATTTATTAAAGAAAGTGAAAAACCTGCAGGTTAAAATTTGTAGGTGTAACTTTAGATTTATTAAAGAAAGTGAAAAACCTGCAGGTTAAAATTT